CTGATAGAAGGGACTGCCGAGAAAGCCTCAGCAACATTATTTTAAAAATATCGTCAGTAATGAAAAACACTGAAGCTGAAAAATTCACAGGTTTGTTAGAGCTGTCTCCACCCGCAGACCCTCCACTGCTGAAGGATAAAGTGAACCAGATGCTATCTTATAGCCTCTGTGTTCTCTGCTGTGTTTACCTCAGTTCCAGAGGGTGGTTCCGACCATCCAAATAAAACATTATTTCAATTATCTCCGCGATCACAGTAGACACCGTGACCTCATACTGAGAGGAAGTGTGGTGCCCATGCTCCGGTGCCCTCGTCCCTTATACACGAATCTCTGGTCTCTGTGGTAACCGTTAGAGCTGAATGCCCTACTGTCCCGACCGCTACATTTCACTTGTCACGGGGCGGCGACCCGGGCGGGCCAGGTGCTGCGGTCACCCCCACGATGGGGGGAATCGCAGTGAAAACTCTGAGGGGGAGGACTCGGTGGATAACGGTCCCACCCCTCCCGTGGCTGAAGAATGCGCTTCAGTCTGTAGTTCAGTGGATAGCCCCGCTTAATCCATTGCCATGCAACGGACATGTGCTGAAGGTGATCCCGATGCCCAGGTGGGCGACGCTGACGGAGGAAGTGACGGATTCACATTAGTGAAGTCGAAAGCTAAGAAAAAAAGACTAATGCCGGTAAGACGCCACTGGCACCTAAGAAGTGTGTCCGCCTCGCCTTCTCTGCAGGTACGATGAAATAAAAAAAGAAAACTCGGCAACGACCAACTTTATTTCTTTCCTCTTTATCCGTCAAAAGTTAATCAGAAAAATTATGAAGCATCTTGGGGAAAAATCAGGATACATAGAAACATATTTTTACACACCGAAAAAATAAAAAATAGAAGCTTGTAGTTTTGTATTTTCTTTTTCGTAGATGCTGTTGTCGTCTCATTTGAATAAACAAGTTAGGTGCTCGATATATCCAATGATAAATCAAACACGTTATCATTTTTATCCGAATATTCGAAGCCGTTCTTACGGAAATACACGAGTATTTATGATGATATTACTGCACACACACACGAACAAAGCCAAAACGTGTCCGGCCGCAACTACAGGTGGGGCCGGCGGCGCCCCCCCCGCCCCCCCTGTGGCAGCGAGCAGTACCAGACAGCGTAGAGCCAACGGTGGGCACCGATATCAATTGTCAAATTATAGCTGTGCAATTTTTATTACCGTGTCCGGGATGAAAGGCATACGAAACAAAGAAAAACAAAACAAAAAGAGTAGTTTATTAACATGATATTGGTGATAAAAAAATGATTTAAAGATGATACTGATGATGACAATGACGATGATGACAGTAAGGATGACGGTGACGTGACAATAATAAGGATTACAATAATGATAAAAATAATAAAGATAATAATGATGATGATAATGATAATAATGATAATTGGTGATGTGAAAAAAGTGATGTGAAAGTGATGTGAAAATACTCCAAGTGATAATAATAATGATAATAACAATAATAATAATAATAGTAATAATAATAACAATAATAATAATAGTAATAATAATAACAATAATAATAATAGTAATAATAATAACAATGATAACGATAATAATAATATCAATAATGATAATGGCAATAAAGATAATATTCATAACAGTAACAGTAATAACAATGAAAATAATAACAACAGTAACAATGATAATAGTAACAATAATAATAAAAATAATAATTGTAATAATAATAATAATAGTAATAATAATAATAATAATAATAATAATAATAATAATAATAATAATAATAATAGTAATATTGATAATGATGATGATAATGATAATAATAATAGTAATAATAATAATAATTACAATAATAATCTCAATAATAATAATATCAATAACAAGAACATGATCTACAACAACAATAACAATAATAAGGATAACAATGATAAAAGTGATGATAATGATAACAATAATAAATATGATAATATTATTAACAGCAATTGGGCCAATGATAATAGTAATGATAATAATAATAATAATAACAATAAAAACGATAACATAGAAAATAATAATAAAGGTAATGATAATGATAATGATAATGACAATGATAATAATAATTATAGTAATAATGATAATGGTAATAATAATAATGATAATAATAATGATACTAAAATGATAATAATAATGATAAAAATAATAATGATAATAGTAATAATAATAATAGTAATAACAATAATCGAAATAATAATATTAATAATAGTAATGACAACAATAATGATAATAATGATAAAGATAATGATATTATTATTGCTGGAGAATCGTTATTTAGGAAAATGAAAATAAAACAACTACCAGAGTTGGCCTTATTGCCACTGTTGTTGTTGTTTATCACAATTGTGATTGTTAATTGCAGGGACGTGGCTAAACCGTTTATCTCTTCTGACAGCGGTATTCAGTCCATTAAAGCCCAGGGTGATGTCTCTTGTTGCTGCCGCTCTGTATAGCTGCCGACCCGACTGACCTATGACCTCGAGAGGGGGACGTTATCTCCTTGGAGAACACTCGTGAACCGCCAAACACGAGCAGGTGTCAAGAAACACCCAGGTGTCAACTTTTCCCGAGGCTAAAGGTTTCCTCTGGTATCGATCCTGGGTCCTGCAATGTGCAAGTCAGAGATGTTGCCGATGCCGCTACCAAAACCTTATAAATAAAAATCAAATCGGGTCTTTTATATTCCCAACTCGGATGAAGACACACGACCTACTCCGTTATGATATGTAATTTAGACACCCCTAATTTTATTATCTATAGAAAACGAAAACTTGTCAATGTATTTACAAAAAACGTACAGATGCAAAGCGGGACGGATTAAATCATTCAAATCCGGTGACAAAATTCTCGTCTTGGGGTTTTTATCTTTAACTCTGTTTAATGTGTCTTCTGTTATTTTTTTCTTATTCATCTGCATTTTTTTTTTCATTATTCTGATATCATAATTCTTTTAAATATTACCATGTGTGGATTGTCCTTGTGATATCGAGAATCCTATTTAGTCAACACAGCTACTAAGCACTGATAAGTTGTTAGTTATTATACTTGTGTCAGAAATAAAACAATGATCATATCATTCGGATTGTAAATACAAACGTTTATATCGTGAAAGACTAGTTGTCCTTATTCTTTTCCTAGTTTATCTTGACCCGTGTCTTAGTCTCTTTCTTCCCTCTTCACGTCTTTTCATTTGTCTTTCCGATCCCGCTTCCATTCATATAATAATTTATCTATGTATCATTATCTTTCCATTTCCTTCTTCTTCTTCTGTCTCTCATATTCTTATCTTACTGTTTTCTCATTTACTTACTTCATATCTTCTTAGTCCTTTGACTTAAGATTTATTTATTTTTTACTTTTTCGTATAATTACTTTTTTTCGAAAGCATATATTAAGATATTAACCCATTCGCGATGGACATGTCACGTCTTACGTTTATCTTATTTGCTATTACTAATGTTTTATAACATAGTAATTATAATGTTTATAATAAAAAATAACACCATCGATATTCATAGCATTAGTAAAAATTAATACTGTTAAGCCGGCCCACCTCTCTACCTGCCACCAACACGAGGCAGGCGAGGCAAAACGACGTGTATTCACACGTTTGCACAGAGACAAAGACCCTCTGGCGTAGCACTATCCCCCCCTTTCAAGCAGACGACCCGTCTGCTCTGATATATCTAATCATTAAACAAACAACAGAAAATTTAAATGAAATTAGTCCTCATGAACAAACAAAATTCTTTCAAACAAAAGTAACTGTAATTGTAAATCAGTTATCAGAAACACAAAAATCTTTCATCCAGCGCGGCTTTCTTCGCTCTCGCTGGGGTCGCTCTGGAGGAGGTGTGGGCGGCGGCAGATTGGCAGTGGCACCCAAAAGGGCATCTCCTGTCCCAAGACCCGGCTCAATGTCGCCACTGACGTCCATCGCATCGCCCCCACTGTCCAAATGCTCGTCCTCATCCCGGTCAGCATCTGCCACGTCCTCATCGCCGCTATTGGGGCTCACGTCATCTTCCCCCTCACCATGGTTCCAGGAGTAGCTTCCTGGCCCATAGTAACGCCACAGCCGGTCCACGTGGACAACAGACGGTCGCTTTCGCCCTCTGCGAATTCGATAGGTGACATCAGAGAGGGCCGCTAACACCGTGTATGGCCCTTCCCAGGGGCTCTGTAGCTTCGGTGAGAGCCCTCGCTTCCGACGCGGGTTATGCAGCCACACTCTATCACCTATGTTGTACCTCACTTCCCTAGTGCGCCGGTCATAGGTCCCCTTCATGGCATGGCCGGCTACCTTGAGCTTGCCACACACTCGTCGGTGCACCTCCCCCGCTCCAACAAGGCTCCGCCCAACTGCTACGCCACCAGCTAGCTGCAGGTTTTGGATGGGCTCCACTAGGCCCTCTACTCCACGCATCACTCTTGACAGTCGACACCAGATTCTAGACTCTGTCCTGGGGGCAAGGTGCAGCCGCTCAGCCGTAACTACCTCTGCACAGCCAACTTCTGGAAGCAAGGGCACATCTTCACCGTGCACCCTCACCAGCTTCCGTCCAAGGTCGACAAACGCCTTACTCTGCGTCAGGTAGTCAAGGCCCAGCAAGCAGTGCTCGTCCATATCGGCCACATAAACCGGCAGCCGCTGCACCGTGCTGCCCACGCCAATACAAGCCTCCACTAGCCCCTTGAGCTGTACACAATGCCCCGTGACACCACACAATCTCTGTGGTGCATCTGGAAGTTGCGTAGTGGCCAACATATCAGGCCGCACTAGGGTCTTCTCAGCTCCAGTGTCCACTGAGGCGGCCTGGCTTCCCAGAGGACGGCTGGGTTTCGGCCCCCCTTCTCCAGCCTGTCCGAGTGTTCCGCCTGTACCACTTCCTTAGCCTTAGGACAGGCACTCGGATGGTGACCATACCTGCCACAGCCCTTGCAGCACTGCTGGAAGGCATCAGGACGCGTTCTCCGCTTCTTCCAACACCGACTACGTCTGTGCCCTTTCTCACCGCAACCCCAACACAAGCTTTGGAAAGTGCTCGGGCTCACCTTCCTCAATGCTCCCTTCTCTACTTTAGCCTTCCAGCCCCGGAGGTCACAGCAGGGCTGCGCAGCTGGCCCTAGGCCACTGGTTGCCTTCAGGAAGGCCTCGAACTCCAAGGCCCTCGCCAGCGCCACCTGCAGGTCCTCAGGGTGTGCCTGCTTGACGTAGATTTGCAGCTGCTGGTCCTGCAAAGCGTCAATAAAGAAATCGCGGGCCAGTACCACGATCATCTCTTCCGCAGCCGCAGGGTACGACCTCCTTACCAGAGCCTCCACATCCTGTGCCAGCTGGGGCAGTGTCTCGCCACGCTCACGAGTCCGCTTCTTCAAGCGGGCCCGATATACCTCGGCCTGGTGGTGATGCCCGAAACGGCGTTTTAAAACCTCCGCCACGGTGGTGTAAGAGGCATGTTGGGAAGGCGGCAGATGCCCCAACACTTCCACCGCGGGGACCCTTAGCGCCGTTACCAGCTGCAGTACCTTCTCTTTTTGGTTCCAGCCCTGGGCAGATGCCAGCATTTCAAACTGGGCGACATATGCCTCCCAGGCCACATTCCCGTCGTACTCAGCTGGCTTACGCCTCACAGAATGTTTAGAGGCCGACAGGCTACGGGGTGGAGAACGCGTGCCGTGAACTAACACGCCTGGGGGAGAGGGAGGGGGTGAGGGAGGCAACGCGGCGGGTTGACCGCCGAGTTTGCCGCCACCTGTACCCAAGGAAGCGGTTCCGATGGGTCCCCAGCCTTCTGCAGTGACCACTGGCTCCGACACGACGCTGCGAGGCCCGGAGGTTCCCTGCCACGGACCCCAGGCAGACCCGAGTAAATCTGACACTCTGGCATCTGTTGCCAGAACCTCGTCTGCTTTCTCTGCTTGCAACGTTACTACCTCGTGACGCCGCCTTTCTGCCTTCACTTCCTCCCTCAGGCCCTGAACCTCTCCTTTCAGAGTCTGCACCTCCTCCAGCAGTTCACTCTTCACGCTGTTGCAGGCCTTGTCGGTGTACTGCTGAGTTTCCATCTTCACAGAGGTAAGATTGCTCTGTAGCACCTCAACAAGATGGCAGAACTGTTCCTCTGCCTTCCTTGCCTGCATCTCGACGAGATGGTGCGCCTGCTCGCGTGCCCTCTGTGCCTGCTCTTCTGCCTGCTCGCGTGCCTGTTCTTCTGCCCTTTGTGCCATTTCCTCCTTCATACTGGCCAGCATAGCAGTAATCAGGTCCATCTGGCTCGGCTTCACCTCACTCGTGCCGGCCTCAGGCGTAGCCTCCTCTCCGGCCCCTTTCAGACGTATCGACTTTACGCCGTCCGCCGTCTAGGACCCAGCGCCGTGCATTCCAGAGAGAGCGCCGTGGTGTCGACGGCGGGCGCCGTTGACACAACGGCACGGCCTGTGCCGTCCACCTGTCAGTTGCCTCCATTCTTTCATCATGGACACACAGGACCACCTGCTCTACCTATATTACTTATATTTAAAAAGAAAAAAACAACGTTCACACGGCAGAAAGTGGGTCCATAATATCAATGTTGCCAGACCAGTGGTTGGAGCTTATGTCACACTGTATGAGGAACTCAGAAGGGATAGAAAAAACTTTTTCAACTACTTCAGAATGAGCAAAGAATCATTCGATGAGGAGCTCAACAGGTTGAGTCCTCTACTTTGCCATCAAAATTCCAGGATGAGAGACGCCATTTCACCAACAGAAAGTGTGACACGCTACTCGCGCCGTCCACTTCAGACGGCGGAACGTCGACACGTTTGAACAAGCCCATAGAGACCTGTGTACATTTCACGCCGTCGACGGCGCAACGCCGTGCCGTTTTCAAATGGGCGCCGTTGTGACAACGGCGGCCGTCCACGGCGCCAAGTCGTTCACGGCGTCGGCCGATACGTGTGAAGGCGTCCATAGACATCCATGGTTATTTGAGAGAACGACGTCGTGCCATGGACGGCGGACGGCGTAAAGTCGATACGTCTGTCCCTCTTTGGACATGATAAATCGGCGCGTCTCACTGATCAAATATCACAGATCCCACTCCTGACACCAATGTTACGCCGGCCACCTCTCTACCTGCCACCAACACGAGGCAGGCTAGGCAAACGACGTGTTATTCACAGGGTCGTGAACACTGAACAGCTCCAAGAGGCACCGAGTACCACACCGTCCCAAAACACCACGAGGGAAAACGCCAGGGCGAGGCAGGGCACGAAAGAAAAACTCACAATCACTGTCTTTCCTTTATTTACACAGTTATTTACCCGTACACTTTTCTATAGGCACAATACAGGAGGCAAACCAGCACATCACACTGCACAATACAGCATATAACAGGGCAACACAAAGTGTATCAGGCTGGAGAAGGGCACACGCGAGGTCATCACAGCAGCGGCACCAAAACTCGAC